AAGAAATGAAAAGGTTGCATTTATTTATTTACAGTTGCATCAATGTTTGGAACATCATTTAGGAAACTCTCTTCTTAAAAGTTGACTCCTTGAGTCATACATTCATATTCTCTGGGGAGATTTGAGTGATAACTGTTTGGAGCTTTATGTATTTACCTTGATCTTTTGAAATTGAAGCATTTTCCTGTTTCCTGCTTATATAATATTGTGCGAGCTGCTTATTCTCATTTTAAAACTTTTAACCCTCGTCCACACACATTCATGCCTCTGTCCAGATGTGTGTGTCTTAATGTTCATGCAGTCTGTTTTGCAGTTCTCTATTGCTTGAAGAGCTCATCAGTTAATATCTGTGTGGAGAAGGGACACTGGTTGAATCATTATGTATATTGCAGCTGCTATTAAAGATTTCTGAGCATAATCTGTTGAGTAAGCAGGGTCTAAATGCTGAGAGTGAAAATGTAATGGCTTAGAGTGCCATTAAAAGAACAATTGAATATGCAATACATTGTTGTGAATGCATTTGTTTGATCCTTCATTCCCTTATCCTTTTTCACTGATCAGTTTCTTGATCTAATTGTATATCTGCTGCGTATCACTGATGCACCGCAAAGCAGCTGAACAAATATGTATATTCATTAGTAGCAGCATAGTTATGAGCTCATAAAAGCGTCTAGCAAAAGCATACAGAAGGCTTTTATGTTTTCTATGTAACCTAATACTTATTGTTTGCTTAAGATCTAATTTTACTGTGAGGCTTAATGAGTGGTGCTGCACTCCTCCACAGCTTTAGATATCATGTTGTGCTGACAGAAGCAGCCTTCATTTCTTTAGCCGTGTTATATATTTGGTCATAAAATGATTTTATTATTTTGTGGTATTTATCGATATAAGGCTCGGCTGTAGGTATTCAGTGGACCGTTGACTGTCATCATGCCGTGGGGAGAAGGAACAGGTGAACAGTGTCAGGCGGCTGAGCCAGACAAGCCAATAAACCGGCCTCAGGACTGCTGACTGATGCAAAACTTGCCTTCAGTCCTCCTTCCTTCCTCAACGGTGCTGCTGTTGTACTAAAAACTGAGTACATGCTAAAAACAGATTGTTCCTTAGTTTTGGTACAGGCTGTTGGTGTACAGTTCAGCGCGCGATACATGCAGAATGGCACCTACCCAGATCGTTTCTTCTTGATTTGTTCTTTCGTGCACAGATTCCATGCTGTGGTTATACCCTGTGACTTTGAATATGTCTTTTAAAGTAATAATAATAATAATAATAATAATAATAATGCATTACATTTTTTATTAGAGCGCTTTTACAGATGCTCAAAGCGCTTTACAATTACACATTACACATATTAGACATGTAAGAGTCATTACTGTGGACATTACCCACAGGAGCAAACGCGGGTAAAGTGTCTTGCCCAGGGACACAAAGTAGTGCATGTTTATATGTGTGTTTTTGTTTTGCTGCAAACAAGTGCATTACCTTATTCCACACGAGCAAAGCACACCGATGGCTGTGTCGACACAGCATGTGTATTTGTGTGCACACGCCAACATGCACGTACGTGTGATTGAGTGTGCACGCGTTGTCCTCCCTCCCCCATCTCTTCCTTTATAAATGCTGACCGAGAGCACACTGAGTTCATCTAAGGACAGGGAAATGCTTTTCTTTCCAGTGTGAATCATTTTGGAAAAATGAGCCTCTGGACTGAATTGCCCTGGCAATTTGGCATGTTTCTCCATTCTGCTTTATTGTCTATTTTGGCTGAACTTGCAGTTCTTCATTTTACTGCCAAGAAAACTTCAGGTCCTATACAACAGGCAAAGCCAGTTTCTGAGTCAGCCATGGCCCTATAAGCAAATAAAAATAAATCTCTACAGAATACTACCATAGCTTCCTATTTAGCTGTGAATTCCAGAAAGAAAGAAGCGAGCCATGTCTGTACTGTAAATGTAGAGTTCCCTATCCCTATCACAGCGTGGACAATACCTCTCTGCAGGCTTTAGTCCTTCAAATAAAATTGTTCGGTGAAAATGAGCCGAGCCCATTTTTATAGAGGTGTTTTATATGTTTAGATTAAGACCCTTCCTCTTTTTAAAAGCTATTTTCTCAGCACACGGTTTCTGCTCTCGCACTCATGCAGTTTGGAAAACTGTGCAGTGACGAGAAAGTGTGAGTGGGAGCGGTTTTTGGAGGTAGACAAGGAGGAAGGGAGGGAGCTTGGGGGGAGTTTTAATTTTGCAGTCAGCCAGCCCCCCTTATAATTCTGCTGGCCTCCCCATCAGAGAGAAAAGGGGAGAGGGGAGAGGGAATGGCCTGCGTTGAGGTTTGGGCGAGCCAGGGGTGGGCTGAGGCAGCCGGCAGCTGGGCTCTCACTACCCCTGTCCTCCAGCTCCAGCCTGAATTATGAAGGCTCCGTAATGGCAGCCAGCCTAATTACAATGACTGATTGCCCGTCCGTTGGCATTTCTCAGGCGGTGATTGTCGTGTGTGGGTAGGATACGAGGGGAAGGAGGAGGGTCGTTTCTCATTGGCCTTCCCCTTTCTTTCTTTGCATGAGAACAGCCAGAGATTGGGATCTGATTGGTTGGAGGGAAAACTGATTTTTCATGATTTGGCGAGGCAGAACTGGTGGAAAGCCAGAGACAGGTGATGTTGCACTGATGGTGCATTTGTGCCTATTCAGTCCATGGCACCAAATCTTTAAAAAGCTGCGTGTTTCACCATTAACATAACTTTACTTTCGTAGTATAGAAATACTTTATTCCCTTATATCCTTTCATTATGTTTCGGTGCTATACAAATCATGTAGTAAACATGAACTAATCACCGAGTGTGCCAAATCTTCAACCTTTTAACTTCTTACTGTGTATCCTCAGCGTTTTTTTTTCATCAACCCCGTGGCATTATAAAAAATAAATAAAAAAGGGGAAAAGAAGAGGTCTTGAATTGTCCATTTGTATGTCAGCAGAGCACTCAGAGGTGTGATGTGTGTGTTAAGTGGGAGCTGGTTTGAGTTGGTCTGCCCTGCTTTGTCCAGTGCTTTGGCTTTTGTTCCTCCAGTAATGAATTGTGGAAGCCTTGGCTTCAGCTGCAGTGTCTCATAGCAACTGCAAAGAGAGAGGGAGAGCTGGTAAATGGAGAAAAGGCCAGGGGAGATCATGTGTTTCTTCCAAAAGGGCAAGATAGACCAGACCATCATTTGGGCATTTTGTGAAGAGGAAAGAGCAAACTGGACGATTCTTCTAGTACCCAGAGCGCCATTATTCATTCGCTTTTTTATCTTTTGTTCGGGCCTGGAATGTGCTCTCTTAAATGTTAAGTCTTTTTTTGAATGATATATTGTCAATTTTATTTACTGGTGGCTGAAAAGTGGACGAGAAGTCAATTTGAATTTGTCAAAGACTAAATGAATTGCCTCGCAAACATATCATTGTTTCAAAATGTAGCAATTCAAACATTTCTGGTCGTCACCTCTTACTGTTTCTCATTGTGTTACACAAGGTCATAGTGTTTTAGCCATCTGAAATATCCATTGCCGTTGCTTAACTGAAACCCAGAACCGCTATGTGTTGGTATAATTTCTCAGGTCCACTTTCACCTGAACCTGTGTCGGAGATTTTGTAGTACGTACTTTCACATTTATGTCAATGCACTTGTGTCTTTGCCAGTATGTGTGTGTACTAGTTTTTCATTAACCAGCGGGCAGTGCTAAAGCCTGGCCATGTTTGCCCTGTGACCCAGACACTACCTGTCTGCTGCCATGGTTACAGGGACGGAGCAGGTTTAGAGGCCTGACTCCAGGGATTACTTTCCCTGGTCTTAATAATCAGGCATGTGCCCCAGTGGCTGTAAAATGGAGCAAACTGCACCCTAACAGTTCAGGGAGCTCCGCAGTGTGCCCTGGTGGCCTTTAAAACTGTCTAAGTGCTGTGTAAGGGATTAGACCTGTACAACGTAATTGCTCTGGTGTCAGTGTCTGTCCCTTTGTGATCTGGTTCACTTGTAGTAGATTAGCTCTCATAAATGAACGGGCTAACGGCGCGCACCAGATAGCCTACAGGTCTGACCTGCTTGAGCTGAAACACATGTACTGTAGAACCATTTTCTTTGTCTTTAAGAGCCTAAGATTTTTGTCACTCAACACACATTTTTTTATGTATCCACACAAACTGACATGTGGTTTATTTCTGTTCACCCAACAGATCCATACATGAAGAGGAAACAAAGGCACAGAAACAATCTGAGTGAGTAACTTATACGGTACTGTGTTTACAGAAAGTGACCGCAATAAGCCAAACACGAAAATATAATATCATCAAAAGATTATATATTGTTATGTTTTTCAGAGCTTACAAACTGTGGACAAATGAGGCATAATATTGTAATAATTATTATAATAGTAGTAATAATAATAATAATACCACTACTTCTACTAATAATAATAATGTAATGCACTGAAAGGCAAAATCATATACACTATGGCCTTTAGTCTCACTACAAATGTATTTTTGTGTCTACTGTTAAACATGCCTATCACTTTACAAATATGAAAGATTGTAGACTGTTCAGATTTGTTTTCTGGAGCAAAGGTACATTTACAAGTAGTCCTTTATTCCAGGATGTTACAGATCGTTCTGGAATTGCTTGAAATAAATAAGATGTAAAGTGTGCAGGTCATTTGTGCTTGTTTGTTCTGTCGGTGACTCTGGAAACACCTGAGAATGTTGGCAGAAGTTGATTTCCTGCCCACCCCAGGAACCTGGTTTTGTCCTGCTGATCCAAATCAGTGTTGACATTTTTATTGCCATTCGCTGACTGTTCATTGTTATTTATGTTGCCTTGGATTTTGTGATCGGACCCTGTGATTAAATACCCTATACGTGGAGTGCTGAATGCTGGTTGGGGCTCCGAAGGTCAGAATACCCTTGACCAGTTTTTAGGTGACATAGCAGATTTAGAAAGGCCTCTCTTATTCATCTAGTGAGATGCAGTCTTACAGGTGTCCACCAGATGCTGCAGGCCGCTTGTACTGTCCCTCTGCACGTTATCCAGAGATGTGCAATCCACTTCAGAGCAAAGAGTTGTAACTGTTTCCATGGTTTTAGGATTAAATGTAATTTTAGTTTTGCATCATAGTAAATAGGTCCCATTTCGGGCTTATTAAGTATCTTTGATGATACATCTGTTACAGAAAATAGACTGAGGGCAGTGTGATTGAAGAGATGTCTTCAATTCCCATTGGTTTAATTCAAAAGTCTGGAAGGATAATGAAAGAAGACATTTGATATAAAACATAATAATATGTCAGAAATAACCGGTATTCAAAGATAAGTGGAGCTCTTTTAAACCACAGCTTTGATCTTAACATCATTCATTAAAAGTCGTAAAACATTTTCCAAATAGATTTTATATATTGGTGTATAATAAAAAATGATGTCAAAATGGAGCGCTGTATATCATATTTCTCATGTAATCCTGCAAGGCTGAAGCAGGGTCTGTGTTTCATCTCATGTCGAGTAGAGTAACTTCACAGTTAACTTTGCAAACAAAGCCAGCCCCGCAACAAGGCATGCTGGGAAATTTGGCTGCTGGTGAGATTGCTTGCCAACGTCCGGAGAGCGGCTCTGAAAACCTTTGCACGGGTTGAAAATGAAGTTTGAATGTAGAAATAAGAGGAGCAACAAAGCAGGGAGCTCACACAGGCTTGTCCTTCTCTTAAAGAGATATTACCAAAACATTCCTCAGTCATGGACATGGAGGCTGTACAGTGAGGGGCTGTTTCTACGTACTGTACTGTACGTCAATGAATCTGATCTCTTTTTTGGAACTGCAGTTCTTAGTTAGTTATTGCCAGACATGTCCTTATAAAAGTTGGTCATTTATTTTAATGTCTCACTCTTGCAGTATACTAGCATTAATGTTCAAAAGTGCTAAGAGAGAATATTGCATTATACACAATTTTTCCCTTGGACGTTACAATCAGGACTCCAATTTAAATGTACATGGATATTTTCTTAAGTTTTAAAGAACTAGAATTAGATTGGTACTTATTACTGAAGTATTTGACCTTGATTGTTAAATAAAACCACTGCTTATAAAATACCAAAGGTGGGGTAGGTAATTTTGGAGAAACCAGCTCGAGTGCGCTAGAATTCGAAAATACACAACCGGAAAAAATCTGCCACTTCCTTACAGAGCCCCTCCTCCAACACACACGAACGTGCACATGAGGGCATGAGATAAGTTTGTGCACAGATGGAAGGCTGACAGGCAGGTAGGCCATCCAGTTATTTTAGCCGGGCCGGCTCAGATGATTGGTCGTTCTTTTTACAGTACTACGGCTTCCACAGAAGACATTTTTTAATGTATTTATTGTCAAACCATTTAATATATTCATTGCTATCGGGACGTTAAAAGCATTCCATGGAATATAACAAAAAGTGTTTCTGAAAAAAATTACATACCCTACCTTTAAGTGAAAATAATTATTCTCAAGATTATGGGATCAGTTAAACCATTATTGTTAAGTGCAGAGAGTCACTGAATGTACCCAGCAGAGAGGACAAAGTAATGACTATCTTTTCACAGCTGCCCTACATTTACAGTTTTCAAATGGTGCGGCAGTTATGTGTGTGCCTTGATCATTGCTATTTCCACATTTTGGATGGTCAAATTATTAGAATTTGTAATTTTATATTTTAATTTCTTCCAAAATGTTTTAGGCTCAAAATGGTAGTGCAGCCAGGCGTTGGTGAGCAGAGGACTGTAGCGATGGTGGTCAGCTTTGTGCTTTGGAAGCAGCCGAGGCTCAGCAGAGGCAGGCGGCCTGGAGGGTCCTGAGCCTTCACAGCTCCGTTTGGCTCTCACACATTGTGCCATTCAGAACTCAGACCGTATATTCACCCCGCTCTGGGCACCCACTATTGTGAGAGTGAGTTCATTTGAAAAGCCTTCAGGATTTATTTTTAAGTCAGCACAATTCACATTTGTTCCAGTCTCTAAGATTTTACTGGTCAATTGAGACAAGCGGATATCAAACATACCAAGGAGAGTTTTACTCTTCATCATCCCCTAATCTTAGTTGGTTTCACCCACACTTTGACTCTTTTTGCTCATAATTTCGCTGGAGTGTCAGTCTTGATTTACTGAAGCTATCTGCTTTCTATGGGAAATAGTCTGATCTAATATAAGGAAGATGTCATCCGATGTTGAATTCACTTAGTAAATGCACTCAGTCATGAAATTACCATTAAATTATTGAAAGTGCAGATTTGGCTCGAAAGGGAGCAATAATATTAGAAAATAATATGCTATGCTATTATGAATTTAAGCCCTGTTGTCTTCCTATCACAGACAACCATGCCTTCATATCTCTCTCATTGTCTGTTGATGAGGGGCAGAAATACTTTTGTTGGCATCTAGGCTAACAACAGGGAATCGGAGAGAGGGGAAAGGGTGAGTCCCAGCCTTTCATTCCTGATCTCCTGGCAGGCAGACCGCAAACGGGCTGGACATGGGTTTGGTCTGAGCCAGCAAACCAGGACAGTACTCAGACAAAAACACCTAATCACTTTAATTAACCTAAGCCTACCATGTTAGGCTTGTTATCAGGTTTGCCTGCTTGTAAGCATGTGTGAATGTAAGAGATAGAGAGAGACAGCTTAGTACATGAGAGAAGTTCACAAGTCATAAAAGTCACATGCAAATCCAGTCTCAGTATGTTTCAAATCTTAGTAAAGCCTCAACCAAATAATGTTTCAGATATATAGCTATATTGCTAATTCAATGATAACTTTAAAAATACTTAAAATTAAAGGTGGGGTAGGTAATTTTGGAGAAACCAGCTCGAGTGCGCTAGAATTTGAAAATACAAAGCCGGAAAAAATCTGCCACTTCCTTACAGAGCCCCTCCTCCAACACACACGAACGTGCACATGACCAATGAGGGCACGAGATAAGTTTGTGCATGAGATGGAAGGCTGACAGTTATTTTAGAAAGCCCTGCTAAAATGATTGGTCGTGCTTTTTACAGTACTACGGCTTCCACAGATGACATTTTTTTATGGATTTTTTGTCAAAGCACTTCAGATATTCATTGCTATCGGGATGTTAAGAGCATTCCATGGAATATAACAAGTGTATCTCGAGCCGGTTTCTCAAACTTACCTATCCCACCTTTAAAGTGGACCCATCATGCTATATTTGAATAATATATTGTAGGGCCATACCTATATAAAACATGTCTGCAACGTTTTTAAAAAAAAAATACCAAACAGATCATGCATTTTAGCCATGCCTCATTTCGCTCTAATTGCTCTTTTTTAGCCCTGCTTTTCTGCAGGGCTGAATCTGTCGAGAGTCTTGCTTCGCTGCTCGTTGTGGGCAGACTGGGCACGCGCCACCTACAGACCTGCATACCTGTCATCTATCGTACTCGACAACCGTCCTCCAGCGCTTTCTAATGGGCAATGACCCGTCGGGCTGTCATCCTCTGGATGGGTTGGAGAGTTGCGCATATAGCCAGAAGCTTCCTCGTTCCTGGACGTCAAGGAGAATTTTCAAATCTGGATCAGTCTGTATCAGGATCCGCTTGCCATGCCCCGTATTTTAGAGATTTGGGTATCGGAGGAAAAGAACGAGGGTTGTGTTTTCTGACACTTGGTGAGTTCCCCTGGAACACCGGGGGCCTTCCGGACACATATTCATAGTATACCCCGACCAGGCAGCCTGCAACAACTCACGCATTGAAGCAGTGAGAGTTCACGCAATTAACCGACCCCTAACCATATCTCGCACAGCACTCCACCGCACAGCACTGCCTTTCCTCACACTAGTTTGTCGTCCAAAATCACAATGTATAGTCGAAATAAAGTGAAGGAACAGCAAAACGAGAGCCGGTTAACGAAATTNCGTGGCTCGCAGCAAAAGTTGAGCAATGTTCAACTTTTGACGCCTCGGCAGAAGCGTCAGCCAATCGAATCATATGCCAGTACAAGCTCTAGCCAATCAAACCGCTGCTTGTGTGTCAGGGGCGGGAGATTCATGTGATTGGTTGTTGGTCGAGTTTCAGACACGCCCGCCGGCAAGCGTCAACGCACGCCGCTGTGTGGACGGGCCGTTACAGTTATAAAGGTGTCTTCACAGTCTGAGCTGTTTCAACCTGTCAATGTGCCCACTTTCCACGCCTTCCTGATCCTCATTAGTGTAACAGTAAGAGTTTTTCTTTGCTTAATATGAAACAAAAATGAAGCAAAAAGCTACACGTAGGATAAAGGCAGAGAAAAGGGAGTTATTTGCGGAGATGTAACATGAGCAACTAATGTAAACGGACTCTTGAAAACTCACATGTTTGCATCAGGATTTAGCCGCAGAATAAAGTGTACAGTAAATGGAGACAGGCCACTCCCGCTCACGTGTGACTCAAAGCTAAGACACATTCAGGTCAAAATGTTGGATTCGTTATAATGTGAAGAAAAAAAACATATCTCTTGTTGAATATAAAGAGATCCTGGCCAATATTACAGAGAACAAGCTGACCTTTTCTACATTGATTCAAAGTTATGTTCTCCGTTTAGCGGATAGATAATATTTGTATACAGAAGAGCGTTGAGGTTCCTCTGGAGCCAGCACAAGGTTTTGACCTTTACGAAGTTGGGAGGAACATTTCACAGATTATTTTGGTTGTTTAACTTTCCCTCCAGCGTGAGCAGGAATTTTCATTGAAATGGTTCATTAGTTAATGTCACTCACCAAGAACAATAACATCCAAAGGCCGTGAACTTTACTGTCAAGTTCCTTTTAGTGAGAGCTTCCCCTCTGAAAGAACAGCAGATGAACGAGAAGCTTTGTACACTTTTCAGTTTACATTAAATTGAACTATTGTGTGCACTCTTTTATCTTTCTGACAAAAAGTGTATTTGAAGCACATGTGGTTGAAACAGCCTCTATCATTTCTATTTATACAATCTAGTAACGCCTAAAAATACACACTTGGAACCGGTTAAAGCTGTAGCGGCAAATGATATCATTGAATGGTCTCCAACCTCAGTATGATTAACTGATACTTGTGCAAATGTAACTTTGAGCAACAGCTGATG